AACAGTATCTATTAGTTATTTTTCAATGGGGTGACAATTGTGAAATTCTTAGAGTAAGATCAAGCACCTTAGAAAGTCCTACCAATAAGGGTCGATTCCCTTTCCCTTCACATTTTTGTATCTGACTTAATTCACAGCTAATGGTTAATTGTGGGGAGCCAATATAGGATTAAGCCTCGGACTGACCTATTGGCAAAGTCACAACAAGTCCCAGCTTAGAGGGCACAGTCCTCTTAAGCATAATTAGGCTTGACCTTATGACGCTCCCTAGATCTTATCTGGGAAGCTAATGGGCTGAGGCGAGTGCAGCAAGAACAAGAACAAAAAAAAGTGAAACTCACAAGAACATTGTAATTATGGTGACCACTACCGTGTTTACCTCTCACTGTAAAATAAGGGCTCAGTTTGCCTCGGGATCTTTCTCTGTGGCCTCAGCCAGGCACAGGAAGATCCACGGAGACTAGAGAGAGCTAGAGAGTTCTGAATGCTGTCTCCGTGTAAAACATTCTTCGCTGACTTCTGTCCACACCTTTGGGAACCCCTGGACCCTTGGGGCTGGACCCCAGCAGTTAATTTACTCATTATTATAGATAGGAACTATATTACCGATAGAATATGAAGGCAATAAGAATATCAATTTGTTTTTGCTAAAGGGACATTAGTGGAATAACTAATACAAGTTGACTAATATCTGAAGATGAGCTCATAGTATGAAGCAATGTTAATGTCCTGATGTTGATAAATGCATTAAGGTTATGTAAAAGAGAGTGATTGTTTTCAGAAATACACACTGCATTATTTAGGAGAAAAAGTGGCATAATATCTGCAATTTATCCTCAAGTGGTTAATGAATAAATAATATCTAGATAGAGAAGAAGATGGGGGAGAGAATGATAAAGTAAATGTAGTAAAATATTAACTTTAAAAAAATCTGGGTGAATTGTACATTATGTAATATGGTACTATTTTATAACATTTTGCGACATTTTCATACGTGTAAACAAATCAAAATTTTACAACATTTTCATACAAGTAAACAAATCTCATGCATTCAGAACTCCAATAAGGTAAACGGAAAGAAGCAGGAAAGCTCCATTCACTCCAGGGAAGTATCAGAGTCAGGATAACCTTCATAGAGGAAAAAGCAGTTTTAAATGTAAAATATTAACTTTAAAAATTATATATAAGAATTATATTTATGGACTCCATTTCCTGCACTTTTCAAGATTAAGCATCTTAAAATAGAGGTTAATTTAGATTACTCCTCCACTGAATATGTGTATCTGTATTCACTATCTGACTAGCTACCATTGAAGTTCCTCGGCCTTCCGTGACTATTCTTACCCCTTAACAAGATCTGTTTTCTCCTCTCAGCCTGGCTTTCCTGTGACCCGAACAACTTGGCTCCAATATGGTGATACATATACTTTCCTTCCTCCACACCTATCTACTTATTTTATTCCTCAAAGTACATGTAAAGTCTTCAAAGTTTTCCTTAAAATCCTTAACTGCCACTTTTCTACCCATTTACTTACATAATGTCTTATGTAGGTTTATTTGATTTTTTTTAAGTATATACTTAGATTGTAAATTTACGTGTGGCTCAGGCATATATTTTGTGAAATTTAAAAAAGCACTTAAATATGTTTGTTTGTTGATCCATTAAATCTTTTTACAGATATCTCAGTGGAAAGAAGATGCTGGGTGGTAAGATATTTTTATTTAAATGAATATATTTCAGTTCCAACTCTCTTTTATCTTGGCAATTCAACATAATTAAAAGAAGACTATTTATTATAAGCGATGGCATTATTTATAAATGTTATAACTAGAAATTTAAAAATCTAACAATAAAAGTGGAGGAAAAGGTAAGAAAATTCAAAATAATTAAAAATCAGCAGCATGTGAGAACTTCTTAAAAATGGAAGATAAACCATACATTATTCCTGATGTTAAAATCTGGTAAACTGGGGGAAATGGTGGTCTTAGTTGTAGAGAGGGGAAAAAATAAGGAGAAAAAGTGGTTTCAGGAAGAACATATTTTAATTTTCAAATGATGAAAATTTCCACTAGACAATCTTTCAGTCATTCAGTAAACATTTGAGTGAATACAAGGTGCTAGAAGGCATTGTTCTAAGTCCGAGAAACACAAATGTGAATATCAAATGAGGCCTGTCCTTACGAAATTTAACATAAAGACAAAAATAGGAAATTATGACTGTTGTCAGAAGGGGACTTGCTGAGCAGAAACCAAACTGCCTTATGAATGAGAGAAGAAAAGGGGAAGTAAAAATTACTTTATTTAAAAAAATAATCTTAGATTGCAAATTTGGAGAAAAATAGGATGACGTTTTGAAGACTCAAACAACTTATAATGCACTCACACACTTAATGGGTGCTGTGATTGCTTCTGCGGTGATTTCAGTCTAGATGAAGAAAAACCTATGTGACATAAAAGGCAAGGATTCCAGAAGGTGAGGAGAGAGCACTTTCTTTACAGAGTCACAAGTCAATGGAAGTTAGGGAGTGCAGAAGGGGAGAAATTAGATTGAAAGAAGGGGAATGGCATTTTCTTTTTCCTCTTAAACTTTATGGTCTTAATAAGTTAGGATGTAAGAGGAAAAAACACTTCTGTGTCCCCTTCCTTTCAATACTCCATCACAGAACACTTCACTATGGTCCCAAGTGTGTGGGGATTTTTTCCACATCACGCAATTCTACAAAACCAGCTGGGTGTCCTACAACTACAATTCACTCAGTTCTGACACTGTTTACCTGATTCTCTTGGCCCCCTTTCAGATGCCAATCTCAAGTCCAGGTTGTTATCTATACTTCTTATCCACCAGGAATAACAAAAAGGAGAGTTCCACAAGCTTCTCCCTAGGTTCAATTAATTTGCGAGAGCAGTTCAGAGAACTCAAGAAAACATTTTACTTAAGAAATTATCAGTGTATTATAAAATAATACAGCTCAGGAAGACACAGATGGAAGAAATGCGTGGCACAAGGTATGGGACAAGGGTAACGGAAGTTCCATGCTTCCTCTAGGCCTATCACATACCAGCATCTGTATGTATTTGCCAACCTAGAAGCTTTCTGAATGCCCTCCTGTGGGCTTTTCAGGAGGCTTCATTGCTTAAGCATGATTGACTGAATCATTGGCCATAGTTGCTTGAACTCTAACTTCAACCACTTGTCCCTTCCCACAAGTGCATAGGAGGTGGGACTGAAAGTTTCAATCTTATAATTACAGGGTTTGATTCCACTGACAACCAGCCCCTATCCTTGGGGGTTTTCCAGTCACTTCAATAACATTAATTCAGGTGTGTTTGAAAGAGATTGTTATGAATAACAAAATTTACCTTAATTGCTTTGATCACTTAGGAAATTCCAAGAGTTTTAGGAACTGTGTGTCATAAACTTAGCAAATATCTATTTCTTACTATAAATTTGCTTCACGGAGAAAAAAAATGATCTTTGCAAAATGAAGGAGTAAAAACTGGGATTGGGTTGAGGGAAGAGGAGAGGAGATAAGGAGGACCTCTTACAGAATACCCCTAGGGAATCCTGTGATATATGACTGAGAAGCAAGGACCAAGTTTATTGTGGATGGCATAGGTTATAGTAGATTTTCCCAGCAAAGCTCCTGTCTGTCTTGAAGGCAGCGTTTATTTTTGTAGCCATGTGCAGGAATCACAGGAGCATAGAATTTGAAAGTTTTGTGGAGTTGGGAGACTTAAGTGAAAGTTTGATCTCATGATGAAATGCTGAAGAAGCTTCTCGAATCTCAGTTTTTTCAGCTGTAAAACGGAAGTGGGAGTAGACCTCAAAATGGAATGCTCATAAATTTTCTGTGAGCGTCCCTATTCTAATCTGAGTTCATTATATGTTATAAGGTAATAGGGGGGAAAGCAGATTTTATGATGAGAATAAACAGAGATGTATGTTCCACTAATCTTCTAGAATGACTGGTTCCAGAACTGAAAGGTAAACATACTCATTCAAGGAAGAAAACACGGATTAGAAATTCATACAAAGTTATAACTTTATAGATTTTTGTTTTGCAATCAGCAATTCTTTCTGCATGTGTTTGATCGATGGATTCACAAATACCATTTTTATGTAGAGGCCATGTTTTTAATCTCACTGACATACTTTGTGAAAGTTCAGAGAGCTGAGAACTACCATCAGACTTTACAGCATAATCCACTACAATGTAGAAGGTGCCTTGTCATGTGCTCATCACATGGCTTTTATGATATAATCAAGAGAAATAGTAACAAGCTCCTCTCACAAACTAGATTAAAAGGGACACACTCACATTTCCCCTTCACGGCCATGTCAAAGATAGAGTAGGAGGAATTTAAACTTTATGGCATCATATCTGTCACGGGCCTATCTATCTAGTAATATGGAGCTCATTTTTCAAGGCTACAAGTCTATTAACCTTCACAAGAACAAAAATAAAGCAAAACAAAGAAACACTGTCTGGAGAAATGCATTGCTTCTAATCTTGTTTATGGATCTTAACTGTGGGGGTTTGGAGATGGAACAAAGACCTCTACTTCCCCAGGCACACACACACAAAAAAAAACACATACACCTAGAAATAAATATCAAATGCCTAGTGATGCATATTGTAAATAAATTTGTGATTAAGAAAAAAAAAGGGGGAGTTGGTTTAGGAAGAGTAACTGATATCATCCCTGTTAAAGCTTTGTCTTGCACTGTGATTTGTACCTGGGAAGGCCAACACATCAACCCCATTTATTTTGAATATCTTGGCTTGCACTTGGTCACCACTGTACCTATATTCATTCATTGTACAGGCCTGGGAGTATTCAGTTCTAGATAAATGCGTGTCCAAAAGCCAGAGGCTGATGATGAGGTAGAATATAAGGAGTTCTTGCTTATTTTGTCTATGTTTCTGTTTGACTTAGCAGATAATTATAATACAAATTGATGCTCCCATTTTAAACAAGGTACTAAATCAGCATGAAATATAGGATTTGGGAAAACCATTTGCCACATAATTATAATTTCTTAAAATTCCTGTGTTCCTTGCATATGAGAAGCTATAATCATGTGCTACATACCAATAGCATTACTCTTCTCTTCCACCCCCCATGGGAGAGAGTTAAATAAAGTTAAGTAACAAATTTTTAAATATTATTAGCTTCAAAGTTTAAATATCATTAACTGAAGCAGAGCAAAAACTTATGTTTGTTGATCTGGGATCTAGCTTCAAGTGGGAGAAATTACAGATTCCAGGAAGCAAGATTAAAATAATAAATCTGTGAACTTCCTTTAAAAGTCATGTCTTATCAACAAATACAGTTTATTTATCATCATGAAACCACTAAAAGTGTGTAATTTTCATCAGCAGAGAGAATAGAAGCAAAGTAGGAATGCAAGAGGGGTTTGGAATCAGAAAGAGACACATTTGAGAATGTATCAGAGGTTATATTCAAAATATTTATTTATCAACTAGAATTTCAGGGACATAGACCCCTCAAGAGGGAGGGGTTCCAGGACAGGGATCTACAAACCCCTCTTATGCCAGGATACTTTTAGTGGGTGGATTATGGGGGGGGTTATGGGGTAGACCTGAAATACTGGGTTTAGGAGCCTACTCGGGGTACTGGAGGAATTAACCAGAAGAGATGCATTTCTATACTAATCTGCAGAAGTAGTTAGAACTACTTCTAACCAATATGGAAGTAGTACAACATTTTAACAAGTGCTGACATGCTGTATATATTGGCCCTTGGATGACACCTATTCATTGCTTGTCCTTAGTAGCTTAACCTTACTGAACCAGCCAAGTGAGAGAAATGAAAGTGATGAGTTTTTCTGACTAGTTATTGGTTTGCTCTACAACCTCTTCCAGGTGAAGGAGAACTTAGTCATCTCTCCTTTCTCTTTTCCTCAGGCATCCAGTACACATATTCCCAGAGCAAGGGCAAGTCCACTACAGAGCAGAGGGACTTCCAACATTTCAGCCACGTGCAGGAAAGAAGCAGAGTTTGCATTCCATCCTGACTTCCAGCTCAGGGGTTAACCCACCTGGGAGATGATTCAAGAATATGTAATTCTGTGGTTCAGGGTGCATGCTGTCTCTTCCTTTCCCCCTTTTTTGGCTCCAATGTTTATTTGTGCATAAATGATACAATAATATCTTTGCATTGAACTTTTTGAAATGTATTCTTAATTATGATATCTAATAGCAACAATTATGCATATAAATATCTCTCAGCTTAACTTTGCACAAGTTTTGTTGGTTCCAAAGGAAACTTTAATATGCATTTATCAGTTTTCTACATTGAAGAAGTGAGTCTTACCCCAAAGGAGTATCGCTGGTATATCTCTGTGTACTCTGCAAAGTGTAACACGTCTATATGTTTGAGAGACTCACCACTAAAATCCCATAAATAATTTTGAACATCAATTTGTTTAAAAAAAAACTGTAAAAATGTCACACGAATTATCAGAGAAGTAGAAAACACATAGAAGATTTAATGAGTGATTGAAAGAGTAAGATGTGGTAGCGGTAAATAGAAATGTTGTGGATGTAAGACAAAGAAAGATGAGAAATTTGTTTGCTTATTTCCTTCTTCCAATTCCACCTCAAAGGGCCTTTGCTTACTGACTTTGCTTGATGTAGCATTTTTTTTAAAATTAGGAAAATATTGTCAGTGGAAAATAGTTGGTGAAATTTACCCTAAAAAATTTGTTTTTTGATCAGTGCTTCTAAATGTTCTTCACCAAGACCTCTTTTCACTATGTTTCTCCACAAATTTCATATTTTAATTTTTTAAATGCAAATTGTAGCTATTCAATAAAATAGTTTTCCTTATTTTTAATTAATCAGAGAATTATAACTTTCTAAGCAAAATACTCAGATCTTCTGATGATCATAAAATAACTGAATAACAACATAAAAATCTGATATAATTGTAACTAAGGTAAAGATACCTCAAATTTAAAAATACCCTACACAATCTTTTCACAGCTAAATTTCAATGTCTAAATTCTTTGAAATATGAAAATGCTTCAGTCAGAACCACACGTACCATCTCCAGAGCCCCAACTATTTAAAGTTCCAAATTGGATAGCCATGGATTAAATCAATTTAAAATAATCTAACAAATATGATTCATTCTTATTTGAAGGTTGAATTATTCAATGTACCATAACTGTCCAAAAGTGATAGAAGAGAAAATCCTGAAGTCCTTTCAAATCTTTGTCTTCCCACCCCTTCTTCCCCTCTCTGTTAAGACTCTTAATTGACTCTGAGTTGCAAAAGTACTCACCAGCCTGATTAGTTGTGATGCTGACTGCAGCAAACTGTCGTGGTGGTGAGCTCAGCTCTGACACCCCGTTAATGGCATCGATTTCAAAGGTGTAGTTAGTGTGTGCCAGGAGATCTGTCACTGTCACCGTGGTGTTGGTGAGTCCAAACTGTCGAGGGAGGAAGCGAACATTTGGGCTGCATGGCTCACACTGTTTTACATTCCACCCACATTTTTTACATATGATGTTGAAGGTAACATCTTTCCGGCCTCCTGTGTCCAGGGGCCAACTCCAGTCCAGGATAACCGAGGTCTCGTTTATATTAGAGATAACATTTCTTGGTGCAGATGGAGGTCCTGCAAAGTAGTTCAACAAAGATTAATGAGCCTCACTTCTGGATTCTACTACAAG